GCTGTGCTCCCTGCTCCCTATTTCTGTTTCCAGTACCTTCTCCTTCCTCCCTATCCCTTCCCACCCTAATTCTTGAAGACTGCAGGTTTCAGGATTCAGCTAAAACCATCACCTTTCCCACGAAGCACTGCCTGATACACACCTCTCCCCTCCTGCAGAATTGCTCCCTCCCAACCCCATGGACAGATTAACATCCTAGCCACCTGCCTTCCCATGTCTGACTCCTCCCATTATCTTGGAAGGAGTGAAGGACAGGACCACAACATCGCTTTCCTCTTTGTTCCTGGCCCAGTGTTAGGAACACAGATAGGATCTGAAATTCTGTGGAAGGAATAAGTGAAAAATAGTGACTCGTGTGATGCTCTTCCCCCTCTAAGTACAGCCTGAAGTTCCTTCAGCTACTGGTCCCAGGCCTGCCACCAGTAATGGAGTACTGGGCCCCAGGAGACGTTCAGTCGGAATTTAAATGAATAATCACCTCTCCCTCTGGATGCTTCCACATCCTTAGGCTTCCTCTGACCGAAGAACTATCCATCTCTCGTCCTGGTATAGACAATCCCAAGTCTTAAGGGAGGGAGCACTGCTTGGGGAGACCCCAGAGCTGCTACAGTGAACTTAGACCGTAGTTGTAGAGAATCCTCTGGAACACAATCTGCAGAAGAACAGTTGATGAGCTTCAGGAGACCCCCTGTAATGACTCAGAACAGGGAGTTGTTGAGTTGTCTTTGAACACGACCTCGTATAGCTGTCCATGTGGCACTTCCCTTTGTGAATTGCTGAGCCCGCCTTTGCTTCTCACAACTGGTTCCATTTGCCTAAAATTGAATATCGATCGAGTAACCCAGAAGGCCTGAGGCTCCAGTCAGAGCAATGTGTAGTAATAATGTTTACTTTTGTATCATATTTCAGTGTTTAAAATTTGCCTCTAATACATTCTTTGGTGGTAAAGAGCATTATCCAATTTCTGGTTTTCTCTCCACTTTTGAGAGTAGCAAGGCAGAAGTTGGAAGTAAGGGGCAAAGGGCTTTCCAAGCAGATATTTGAGCTGCGTTGATACCAGCATCTTTGTTTCGGCTCCATGGAGGCTGTGTCTGCTCCAAAGCATTTGTCCACCGTGGTTTTGTGGGCAGTGATGTGGTGAGCAGAAGGCTTCCCCTAGGTGGGGTCCTCTCTCGTGTTGGGACTGCTTTCTGCTTCAGAAGAGCTATGCTGGCACTAAGGTCAGGATCTTCTCAGGCAAAGACTGTTTCTCTAATTCAAAATGCAGATACCATTCTACACAGAACAGCGTAGGGGTGCTGTAGCAGAAAGGGCTTACCATGGACCATTTAAAAATAAGGAAAGGGTGGTGGCTGATCTGCATTCTGTACAAGTCAGAAAACATGGCAAAGCTGCAGACGACATTCAAGTCATTTATTCATTGAAGTCATAAATGTTTGCTGAGTGCCTACTGTTTATGCGACCAAGGCTAGGCACTTGAATTACAGTGATGAATAAGACAATATCCCTGTCAAAGAGCTCTTGTTACTTTGTTTCTTCTGTTTCTTTGTCACTAATGTTGTGTCCCCACCCCATAACAAAGAAACAGAATTTCCGGAGGATGAGGCCCAGAAATCAGGATTTTAAAAAGATTCCCAGGTGATTCTAATGTGCAGCCAAGGTTGAGAACCACTGCTCTAGATGGAAGTAATGAACTGCACTTGCAAATAGGAGACATGAATGAGCTCATCTGTGTGCCGAAGGCCGGAGCATTGAGTGTGTGAGGGGCTGTGGGCCCTGATGAAGGTTGGTGTGGGGGCTGTGAGAACTTCAGGGAGGGCAGTGCCCACCACGGTTGCCTTTGTGCCTCTTCACCAGGTACTGTGATGGGCGCCCAGGGTCTGACCTGCTCTCCCCCACCCCCGAGTACTGTTTGGATAAGCTGTCCACTCAAATCACCCTGAGATGATCTAGTGCCATGACGTTGCAAAGAACCCATTTTTAGAAGATTTGCAACAGAAAATAGTCAAAGAGATAGGAACTGTGAGACTCTTTGGGAGGGTTGCTGTGTTTTTAATGAAGGTGACACACTGCCTTTCAAACCAAGTAATTAAAGAAAAACCAGCTGCACTGGCTTTCCCAGGGACTACTAGACCCTTAAAATTCTTGTGACAGAGGAAAGTGCTTGGGGGGAAATAGAGACACATAAATATCTAAGGAAGCCCTTCAAATTTGAAAAATTGGGAAATTTTAAAGGCATTAAATTCTTATGAAGACTTTACTACATTAATTTCGAGTAGGCTAAACATAGAGCTAACTCAGCAAGTACCCACCACTCTCCTGGGTGCCGAGTGAAAAATGCTGTGTTCCTTTTTAAAGGCACGCAAGGCTGTTTTCTTGCACCCCGTGCCTCAGGGCCTGGCGTGCTTTATGTCTGCTGTTTCCCTTGGCTTTTCTGCACAGCAGCTGCTTTCTGCATGTGAATGTCTTAGAGACTCAGTGGTCCTCACCTCCCTGCTCAGAATCAGGAACATGGGCTCATGGGAAATAAATCCACGTCTCATAGCAATAGGCTGGGACCATACAACATCTCAGTGTGAAGAATTCTGCATTTCATCGCATCCTCTTTCAACCCATTTGGTGCCTCTGTGTTTCTTGTAATTCAGACTTTTGGGAAAAGATTTCGTATTTTTGTGATTTCCCATACTGCTTGCTCACCGAGGTCCCTCTTATTTTTTAATGTGCCCCCTTCCCTCCTCAGCACCACTGCTTTATGGGACATTCTTGCTTTTCACACAGAGGTATTTTACTGCTGTCTGTGCCTCGGCTTCCCCTAGGGAGCCAGTGCCATGATATCGGGTGAGATTCAAGCAACCATTGCTTCCTTTTCCCAGGACTTACCTCCCCTGTCCACATCCCCACAGTTCCTCAGAGGATAGATGTTGTGTGGGTTCCGTTTTATGTCCTCTATCAAACATCACCAACAAACTGTGAAGCAGAGCATTCTTGCTCTCAGAGGACCATCGCTACAGAATTCATAAGCATCTGTGGCTCACCTGGAGATTCCCTTCATCTCCCAAGGTTTCGGGAGCAGACAGAAAGGTTCAAGGATCGGCTAGGGAGGAACTTCAGAGCCTGGGTTAGTCCCGTTCCTGCTTGCTTGCTTCGGTCATTTATTCAGCACGTATGTATGGAGCACATGCTGTGTGTCAGGCGCTGGCCTGGCGCTTCAGGCTTCCAGGCGGGTCTGCCTGTGTCAGGAGGCCGAGCCCGTCACCTGAAGCCGTCACACACTGATGGGGGCCATGCTCCCCGATCCTGTTTTCAAGCCTTATTTTGTTCATTAAAGATTTTTAAAAATTTTAAATCATTGTTGACATAGAATATTATCTTAGTTTCGGTGTCTAACGTAACGGTGCAACATGTATATGCTTTCCGAAGTGATCACCACAGTAAGTCTAGTAACCATCTGTAATCGTACATAGTTCTTCCAATATTACTGATGACACTCCCTGTGCTGTACACTCTATCCCAGTGACTTATTTTATAAATGAAAGTTTGTATTTCCTAATCCCCTTTCCCTTTTCCACCCGTCACCCTACCTTCCTCCCCTCTGGCAATCATCAGTTTGTTCTCTATCTGTGAGTTTGTTTCTGTTCCATTTTGTTTGTTCATTTGTTTTGTTTTTTAGACTTCACATATAAGTGAAATCATATATATGGTATTTGTCTTTCTCTGTCTGACATTTCATTTAGCCTCATACCCTCTAGGCTCATTAATTTTGTCACAGATACCAACATTTCATCCTTTTTTATGGCTGAGTATCATATCATTGTGTGTATGTGGTATTTGTCTTTCTCTGTCTGACATTTCATTTAGCCTCATATCCTCTAGGCTCATTAATTTTGTCACAAATACATTTCATTCTTTTTTATGGCTGAGTATCATATCATTGTGTGTATGTATATGTATGTGTGTATGTATATGTATGTATATGTATGTGTATGTGTATATGTATGTGTATATGTATATGTATCACATCGTCTTGAGCTATATGTATATGTATGTGTATGTGTATATATATATGTATGTGTATGTGTGTATGTATGTGTATATGTATGTGTATATGTATGTGTATATGTATATTTATGTGTGTATGTATATGTATGTATATGTACATGTATGTGTATATGTATATGTATATGTATGTGTATATCTATACGTATGTGTATATGTATATGTATCACATCGTCTTGAGCCACTTGTCTATGGATGACACTTAGTTGCTGCCATACCTTGGCTACTATAGTCAGTGCTGCAGTGAACATGGGGGTGCAGATATCTTTTTGAATTCATGTTGTTGTTGTTTTTCCTTTGAATAAATACTAGAAGTGGAATTGCTTTAAATATATCTCTTAACAGAATGTTTGGACTTTTCTAAGGACAGCCAAGATAATGCTGTTTGGATGCTGAAATTTCTCTGAAGTTTCAGTGGTTTAAGTCACAAAAGATATTTGAAATCTGAACTGACTAGGAAAATACAGGTGGTGCAGTTTCCGGTCATCAAAGTCAATCCCAGCTGCCTCTTTAAAAATACATGCTCTAATTTTCCTTTTTTTCACTCAAATCTTCTTGAGCAGGTGATCTTATCCGACGTTTAGTACCCAAAGTCTTCGTGTCCTTCAGTAAGAAAAAATTTTGAAGCACAAACGTGTGTGTATTAGCTTTTTCATCGAGAACTTTAAGTTTGCCTTTCAAATCTTGCTGTGTTTAATTAACACTTGGCCTGAAGGGGCTGGGGGAGCTGAGCTCTAAGGGCCCCTTTGAAAACATGGCAGGAATTTAAAGGAAAGCCGGGCAAACCCAGGCCTGTTATATACATTTGGCAAGTCCTTTCCAAAGCTTTCTCCCCACCCGAATGCCGGGTGGGTTGTGCGCAGCTGTCTCCCCCGTCCCTCCCTGCAGGCCGGGCGCTCCCAGCCCCTCGGGTTCTCACTGTGTTGTTCCCTTGCCTCTTCCAGTCTCCCTCTCCAGGCAGCTCCTCGCCCCTGGGCGCAGAGTCTTCAAGCACACCCCTTCATCCCAGTGACCCCGCGGAAGGCTCCGCCAACAAAGAGGTAGGGTGCCGCTTCCTTTCCAAAGCCTCCAGCCCTTTGTCCTCCATCCTGATCCTGGCCTGTGCCTTCTCCAGCCTCCCACAGAGCTTCTGTCCCCAGGTATCCTGGGGAGAAACTCTATTTTCTCCTCTCCAGTGTGGAATGGGGCTACCAGTTGGGTAGCCAGTAGCCACAGCTGTCTGTTTTCACTGAGAAATGAAATACAGTGGGGCCTTGACTTACGAGTTTAATTCGTTCCGAGACCTCGCTCATTAAGGAGCTCGTTAACTCAAATTACTCTATCAACTCAATGCAAAAAATCGGCTGAGAGACAGCTGGTATCTCAAAAAATGTCTGTTTTCACTGAGAAATGAAATAAACTCGCTCCCCAGGCACACTAGCCATAGTTCAAGTGCTCAGTAGCCACACGTGACTAGTGGCCACCGTGTTGGACCGGGGAGATTGTGGGACGTTCCCACCAATGGATAGTGCTGGGCACCCGCGAGTCTCTGTGGCAGCATCCTCTCTCGTGGTGCACAGGCCTCAGGTACCGTGGGCTGACAGCACTCTCTGTTTTGGGTTGTGGGTTGATTTTTTTTTAAATATCCCGTGATTTCCGGGCCAAGTGAAATACCTTTCATGACGACAGGGTGACCACTTGTCCTGGTTTAGCTGCGATGGTTCCAGTTCACACCTGCTGTCCCACTGCTCACCTGGTGAGCACCCTTCTCACTCCCGAAAGCAGTGCCGTTCAGAGGCCCGGCCGCAGCCCCGGGAATGTTCTGCTCTGTCCTGTCCTCCGGGGGAGTCACCAGCCATGTGTGACTAGCAAGCCCTTGACACATGGCTGGTGGGGCTGAGGACCTGACTTTGTCATTTTATTCCGTTTCAGTGAAGTCACATAGCCACGTGCGGTGAGGGGCTCCTGGACACTGCAACCTCTAGTGTCCCTTTAGACAATAAATCATACTGTCGCCTGCTGAGGGAGGCCAGACGGAGCTCTGGTGGGGAACATGTAAGCAAGACGAGGTTGCTTGCTCCCACTGAGGTTCCTAGGGTAAAAGGGCAAAGTGCTCAGTAGCCACACGTGACTAGTGGCCACCATGTTGGACCGGGGAGATTGTGGGATGTTCCCACCAATGGACAGTGTTGGGCATCCGCGAGTCTCTGTGACAGCATCCTCCCTAGTGGCGCACAGGCCTCTGTGGTTTGGGTTGTGGGTTGATTTTTTTAAAAAATATCCCGTGATTTCCGGCCCAAGTGAAATATCTTTCATCATGACAGGGTGACCACTTGTCCTGGTTTAGCTGTGATGGTTCCAGTTCATACCTGCTGTCCCACTGCTCACCTGGTGAGCACCCTTCTCACTCCCGAAAGCAGTGCCGTTCAGAGGCCCGGCCGCAGCCCCGGGAATGTTCTGCTCTGTCCTGTCCTCCGGGGGAGTCACCAGCCATGTGTGACTAGCAAGCCCTTGACACATGGCTGGTGGGGCTGAGGACCTGACTTTGTCATTTTATTCCGTTTCAGTGAAGTCACATAGCCACGTGCGGTGAGGGGCTCCTGGACACTGCAACCTCTAGTGTCCCTTTAGACAATAAATCATACTGTCGCCTGCTGAGGGAGGCCAGACGGAGCTCTGGTGGGGAACATGTAAGCAAGACGAGGTTGCTTGCTCCCACTGAGGTTCCTAGGGTAAAAGGGCAGGTGTTTTCCCTGAGGGGCGTCACTGCCTTCCCCAGCACCGTCATCTTTTGACACCCAGCTGACTGCCACCCTCACCTCCTGGGAAGCCAGCATCAGGTGAATACTGGCCTGTGTCACAGTCTGTGTGTGGGCCCAGCTGGCTCTAACTATAGAGGCTGCCTCGTCCACACTGAGGGTATGCATTAGGGAGGCTAAACCACAGAATGAATGGTTGTTTCCCTTTCCCTCCTCTTGCTATAATTTTATGTTAAATTTTAACGTGAGTGGCAGATCACTTCCAAAGGGAGCCTTAGTTGAAATTTACCTTTAAAGTATCATCAAATACATATGCATTTTCCATTAAATAGTCATTCAGGGGAGAAGTATATTTTTTTATTAATCTGTTCATATAAACAGGGGCGGGAACCTTTTTTTTTTTACTGCCAGGGGCCATTTGGATATTTATAACATCATTTGAAGGCCATACAAAATTATCAACTTAAAAATTAGCTGCTATATTTGGTCAAACACTTAACTCACCCCTAATGCCCTGGCAGGGCCAGACCAAATGATTTCACCAGCCTTATATGGCCCGCGGGCTAGACATTCCCCACCCCTGATATAAATCAAACATTAGAATTTAGATTTGAAATATCTTTTGTCCTTCGCGGGCTAGACGTTCCCCACCCCTGATATAAACCAAACAAACATTAGAATTTAGATTTGAAATATCTTTTGTCCTCCTCTGGTCTTGATCCTTAGCCCATAGGCCTAAGGACTAAAGGGACAGTTTCTGCTGCCCCTACATCTCATAGCTTTGCCTTGTATTTTATTCAGAGCACATGCAGAGGTGAGAACAAATTACAAAAAGGAAAGAGTGACAGTCACGATAAAAATAAAAACAGCATGAGCATTTACAGTGTTCAGGTACTGGCCCAAGCAATCACAGATAGCATCTCATTTAATCCTTAAAATAATTCCGTGAGGCAGGACTTGTTGTCCTTTTGTGTTAGTTAAGGAAGCTGAGAGGTTGGATAATTTACCTGAGGTCCCAGGGCTCACAGCTGGTGGGACCAGATTTGAACCCAGGGTGCCTGTGGGCTCAGGCTCCTAACATCAGGATCTGCTGTCCTTGGGGGGAAAAGTGCTTGCAGGTCGCACACTGCATGGAAAGGTGGCTCGGATGCCATGATTCCAGTTGTCAGGCCTCCAGGCTCTGCACATGGTTAGTGTGGCCTGGAAAACCCCAGAGAGTTTGGCCTTTATCTTCTTGACTGTAGTTTTATTAATTTTTTGCATGTTAAGGATTAACTAATGTTCATCTCTGCCCCCATATGAGAAAATAAAGGGCTAATCAGACTTCTGAATAGTCAGTATTTGATTATTCATCAGCTAGAATAAGCAAGGCAAATTTGTTAGTTTCTCAGTTCCTATAGGACTTGGCACATGTTTCTACAGATCCTTAGGAATAATGATGAAAATGCTCTTTGTGTGCCATAATTAGAGATTCTTTCATATCACAAAACTCTTTTTAAAAAAAGTACTACCCCCGAGACTAAAGAAAGCCAGTCATGAGCTCATGAATAGAGAATAAGCAAATGTACCAAATGCCCTCCATTGTGGCTCTAAATAAAACGGCAGTTTTTAGAGCTTTAGACTGAAGTCATTCTTCTGTAGTTTCTACTAAAATCTGGACACTGTCCTTGAGATTGGCATTCAGTAAAGTACCCTGAATAGCCCAAGAAAATCTGAATTGGCTTCTTGGAGCTACCTGGAGGCTTAAGCATTTTGATTAAACAAAATAAACCTTTATTACCCCCAGACCCTTAGCAGCTGAAGACAAGGACAGGGAGATGGTTGGGGAATAATAATTTGGAAATCTTTGGCCCTTCTGAAGACGCCAGCTTCCATCTGCATGCCCCGAAGTTAAGGATTGTGATTCTTTAAACCTCAGAAATAGACAGACGTGGCTGCCGGCACTCACCTGGGCCTGTCGTCTCGCTTGGATAAATAGAAAGTAAAAGTAATGTAAAGCACTATTGAACTTGGATTTCCCTTTCCTCCTGTCCCGATTCCTTGGCTCTCACTTGATATGCATTTTTCCATAAATGTGTTAGCAACCCATAACCTTTTATTCCTGGTGGACTTGTGACTTTAGTCTCTTTAAAGGTGATCCTTTCTGAAACCAGAAACCCACCCTCTTTGGTGTGAGGAAGCATTTCATCCCAGTGGGCACATCAGCAGCAGATTGCTCTTCACAGTGTATTGCGTGATTAGTGTTAAATTCTTGTCATTGTCCTGAATTGAGTTAGATCCTTAAAATTAAGTGTCTTCAATGGCCCGCAGTTTTCCACATAACAAATAACACTACTACTTTGTAGAATTTTGTGCAAATCTACTAATCATTCCTTTGCCGTTCCTGAAATCTTTCAAGTGAAGATCACTGTATACAGTCCCATGATATGGAATTGTTTCCCATGACATCCCAGCCCTCATGCAGGCCCTTCACCCTTCCAGCCCACCAGGCACCGCATAGTATACCCTCAATTAAGTCAACCTGTTGAGCAACTATGCTCTACTAGACACCCTTTTCCTAAAATGTACATATTTAAAAGGTCACCTAACAACTGGTAGAGTCTTAGCAATGAAAACCTTTAGGTTTTCTGAGCTTAACCCTTGGCCATGCAAATCCTACTTTTCGCCCGTTTTAAGGACTCTTGCCTTTGACATTAGCTCTCCACTCTCCTGCAATGCTCACCTCATCCTGCCCCAGACAGATCAGGGATGAATTTCCTACTCTCGTGCCACTCAGAGTTCTCTCTAGGACATTCACTTATGCAAGGAACCAAAGGGTAAGTAACGCTCCCCTGAGAGCCAGCATTTACACTGCCGTACAGTCAGGTTCTGGAAGGTTTCTGGTTGAAACAAGGGTGCTATTGGAAAACTGACCTTTGCTCCAAGTTGTCACTTAATATACAAAATGCCAAGGCCTTTAATTTACTCCTTTGTTTGTTGTGTGCTTATTTTAAAGTAACACATGATAATGACATATATAGTGAAATTTTTAGACTAAAATAAATCAGTAAGAGATGAAAGGAAGAGATAAAAACTCTAGCAAATGTTTTTAGCACAAGGAGAGATCCCTGCAGCAAAGACCTAACATGAAATAAAATTCTCCAAGGAAATTTTTAATTTCAGCATATAATGATGTTGGTTCTTTCATTAACCAGCAGTTCTTACTTAGAAGCCGAGATTCTTAAGAATACAAATCAAGCCCTTTTTATAGCGATTGTGGATTATAAATTTTGGTTTGTGGGATATTTTTTAAGCTGACAGACGTCTGATTGTGGAATGTAGGATTTTCAAATTATCTAATTAATATATGAGTGGATGGTTCTGGAGTCTGGGTAACCTTTAATAAGAAATATGTGTTTATTTACACTTTACTTTCTGTAACCAAGAATGGTTGACAACTGGTTAATATCTGACACTGATGATGTATTTGTATTTTATGCTACATGGATGGTTGTATTAATGCATTTTTCATCATGCTTTGCCCTTTTTGAAACTTCTTTGTCTTAATTACAGTCAAGAAAAAGCTTGGCTTCATTCCCAACCTACGTTGAAGGTAAGAGCTAAAAGGAGATATTGAGCACTGAGTCATTCATGAATCTTTTAGCACTTGGGGCATTGGAAGCACTGGGCTGGAAGACGATAGTGGAGGAGAAAGCCCACAGAGCCAGTTAACGCACAGTCTTCACAGCCTTAGAATCTTAGACTAAAAGCACAGTAGCTGTGAGCCTCTCAGACCTCCTCCCTGCCTTTGCTGATTCTGTCCGTGGAACCTGAGCCAGGGGGTAGGGGCTTTGCCCAGCTTAGTAATGATCACATTGGATCTGAAACCCAAGTCTTCCCACCTCTATTCCAGTACACCTTACACCCACCAAGGGCTATTTAAGTGGGAATAAGCTTTAACTAACGGGGAGAAATTTTGTCCTCTTAAGAAAAAACACAAAAACAAACCCAAAAACCTGCCTAATGATTCCCATCTCTTGCTTGGGTGAGTGAGTAAAAGAAACGTTAAGGGCTTACTCTTTTCCAGGTGCTGTTCTAAGCACTTTCCATGTAATAACTCATTGAATCCTCACACTGGTCTTGTGCAGGGGTTTTATCATTATCCCCGTGTTATGTATGAGGACTGAGGCATCGAAGAGGGGGGCAACTTTCCCGAGATCACACCGTTAGCAAGTAGCAGAGCCAGGCTGTCAGCCAGCAGTCTGACTGCACAGTTCTCCCTGTGCTCTCCGCAGGCTGCCACAGTGGTCGTGTGGTTATTCACTGCACAAGCGGCCTAGGAGGGCCCAAACTCTGCCCAGCCTGGCCACCCCAGGTTGAGGTCAGGCCACACAGAGTGCCCATTTCTTATCCACACAAAGACACCCCAAGCGAGAGGTGACACCGACCTGTGCCAGGAGGAGGGCGGGTGCTTTCTCGGGTAGGGTGGGTTGTCATTTCCTTGAGGGAGGATTTTCTGGGGCCCGAGCATGCTCAGGCATCACTTTGGGGTCATGGCTGGTCTCTGGATCCTGCGAGTAAACAACCAGTGTGTCCTACTGCCTGGGCACGAAACTGCTCTGAACCTTCAGGTCTGAAGCCCAGAACGTGCTCCTGGGGTAGGGTCAGTGACTCAGGTCCCATTCCCAGGTAACCTATAAGTTCTCTGTGCCATTGTTGGCAAGCTCCACATTCTAGGAGAGCAGCTTGGGGAGGGATAGGAAGTTTGGAAACTGCTTTCTTCTTCATCGCCTGTGCTCAGGCTTAGCATTAACATGAGGTGAGGAGATATATATACACTGAGTGGCCAGATTATTATGACCACCTGTCGTTTGTCGCCAAATTAGCTATAATATCGCGCTGAAGTTGCTAGAGGGCCAGACCATTATAAACGTCTGAATTGCACAACATACCTAAGTATCGTTGCTGATCAAATCCATCCTATCATGTTGATGGCGTATCCCAATGGAGATGGCTTCTCCCAACAAGACAATGCGCCATGCCACGGTGCTCGTATTGTGCAGGAGTGGTTTCAAGAACATGAGGGAGACTTTACCTTGCTTAGGTGGCCCCCACAATCACCAGATCTCAATCCAATTGAGCATTTGTGGAACGAAATTAAAAGAGCCATCAGACAGCTAGTTCCACAACCATCAAATCTCACAGAACTGGACAGTGCTATTCATCAGGCATAAATGGTAGCCACATGTGCTCAATACTACCCTGCTTTAAAAATAAATAAATTGCAGAAACGCAATTCTTTTTTCATTAGAGGGATGATTAACTAGACTCCTGGACTCTGAAAAACTGTAACTCTCAATTTATAGTGCGTGTGTGTGTGTGTGTGTGTGTGTGTGTGTGTATGTGTGTGTATGGTGAGCTTGCTCACCCCCAGAGCAACACAAAGGCATCACTGAAAAGAAAAACACATTCCAAAAAAACAAAATGAGTCCTGTGATTCTTTGACGTAGGAACATTATAACTTTTGTTTTTTAATAACACACTAAGCCTAAAATGAACTTATGAAATTAGGGTGCTTTTTTTGCCGAGTATGATAGAGTGACAGTGGCATTTGATTATAATCAGTTTCCCTGGAGGATAAAAGGCATGAGATTATATCTGGAATGCATAATTTGTTTAGACCCAATATTTCTGTCTCCTGGCTGCTTGACATTTACACAGTCATTTAAATATTATTTGGATTGCTCTTAAACACATCTGCATATCCACACTTAGGAGGCCTCAAGAGGAAGCCTTTCAGTGAGTAGAGCTAAGACAGAGATGACTATAGTATGGCATTGGAAGTCCCATAGAGAGGTGGTTCATTTTTCTTTTGCTTTGACATTCGTTATTTTCACAAGTGAATATTTTTAAAAGTGACTATCCCAGATGAGATCTTTTTCTCAGTGCCTCGTTGACAAAAGTGACTGTGTTTCAGGAACGTCGTACATGCATCACAGGAGTTTGTCATGGAAGACTGATCATCATCTACATTTTACAAAACACAGTGTGGGTCCAAACTTGTCCTTACGTTATTTTAGTTAGACTCCTGCTTCCCTGCTGTACAACTCAACTGTATATTGTAAATAACCTGAATTCGTCCCACATCCATCCAAGTTTCAGGGTGAGGAGCATATGGTTGTTGAGAAGAATGGAAATTACCAGTATGGCTGGGTACCACCCAGTGTTTGCCTAGAAGTCTTTCCCAGAAAGATCGAGAATAAGACAAATAACAGGTTTCCTTATTTAATTACTACACAGACACTTTGTGAAGGCATTTCCTGAAACATTGTTAATTCCTTTGTTTCAACCACCACCTTGGTTTTAGAAAAAATGAATACATTATTTTAGGTCTGCCCCCTGATAAGTAGCTTATCATGGGAAGTGGCTGTTTAAGCTCAAGATGAGCTTCATCTTGAAGGATAAAAATTAAAAACATCTCAGATTAGCTCTCCAAACGGAAAGAGCAAATTGTTTCCATTTCAAGCTATCTAATTTAAGACCTGGAGGTTTTAACTGTGGGTTACGATGTATATTTTAGTCTCCCCAAATACAGCCTTCAAGCCAAAGAAAATACATGTTTTCATTGCAGAATTAGAATGCCTTGTTAGTGCATCTGTTACAGAGTTTGTTACATATTAGTCCCAGACGTGTTTTAACTTCAAATAACGTTTACAGCAGATTATGGTTAGAGTCAGATACCTCCATTTTAATTATTTAAAACTAAGGTTGGATTTTTTTTTCTAAAATATATTTTTATTGATTCCAGAGAGAGGAAAGGGAGAGGAAGAGAGAGAAACATCAATGATGAGAGAGAACCATTGATTGGCTGCCTTCTGCACACCCCCTACTGGGGATTGAGCCCACAACCCAGGCATGTGCCCTGATCAGGACTCGAACCCTGAGCTCCTGGTTCATGGGCCAATGCTTAACCACTGAGAAACACTGGCCGGGCTAAGGTTTGAATTAAAAAGCTGATCAATGAAACAAATTCCCATTTTCCCTGGAACTGATCTGTATGTAGATGCAGGCCAGGAAATTATGGCCAATAAGGCAGCATGAGATGGCAGCTTCGGAGTAATGTTAGCTGCCTCCCAAAATTGGGGTTAGAGGCTATTATGGGAACCAAACATTCTGAAACAAATATCTCAATTTTTTTATTTATAAAATTTACTTCCCCTGTTATAGATAAAATGGAGAGGGGAGATATGAATCAGTAGCAAGTCAAGGAACTGCTTATTTATTTGATACCCCCTGGGTGACAGGTGCTGACCAGACACAAGAGAGCCAAAGATGACTTAGTCCTTGTCCCCAAAGAGCTCACAGTGTGACAGGAGAAACAATAGCCTTCATGAAACGTTTCATGTTCTGTATTTACATAAATCTGCACATCATTTCTCACAGTAAATGGTCTGGGTGAAGTAAGTGACTATAAGAAAAAATTGTTCCCGTTATTTGAAGATGAGGGGTGAGTGGAGGCAGATAGGGGTCCCTTAGACTGCTCAGGGCCCTCAGGACCGGCCCCCTGGGCCAGAGGTGAGCAGTGGGGAGGGGTGTATGCAGGGGTTGGGCAGGCCCACCCCAGAGTGGCTTCACTCACCAAAGTGGCTCTGTGTGTTACAGTTCCCGGACCTTGTGACCCTGAAGACTTAATCGATGGAATCATTTTTGCTGCCAATTACCTTGGCTCTACCCAGCTGCTCTCCGACAAAACTCCCTCCAAAAACGTGCGCATGATGCAGGCCCAGGAAGCGGTGAGCAGGATCAAGGTGAGGGGGGCCATGTGCTCCGTGGGGGTGGGGGGCAGCGGCGGGTACCTGAGCCGTCCTCAGTGGTCATCCCAAACCTCACTGACTAGTCCTGAGGGTAGAGGAGAGTGGATTGGGGTGATGTTGCAGGCAGTGCTTACACATGTTCCTGCTACAGTTCTAAACAGAAAAAATGATTTCTGAAATGGACTGCAGTCCTTATATGGAAGCACTGTGTATTTGGGTTGTTCTTCATGGCCACTCTGGAGAAAAAGAATACATACGATCCTGAACTTTCAGAAGTTGACTTGACGAGGACAGATAACGTGCCGAGTGTTACCTCGAACGTGAGGGTTCTATTCCTGTATTTCCACTGACAGCGTGGTTCAAACTAGGTCCTTTGCCTTGGAACCTGCTGGTCCTGCTCAAGCCCAATTGAACTGGTTTGCTTCCAGGGAAGTGAACCCTTTGATCAGATCTAGCCTGGCCAGCCTGAGCAAGTCTGAGCAAGGCCAGCCCCGTTTAAACTCGTCTGAGTCCGTCATAACCTGCTTGCATCTGTTCCACCGAGATGGACAAGGAGCGAGCCTGTGTTGTTCAGGAAGAACCACTTCCATCCGGTTTAAATCGTTCACAACCGGTTTGAACCAGCCAGACTGGTGTGAGCCCATGGAAACACAGAGCTCTCGAATCTCCACCCTGAGGCCAGACACACCTCAGGTCTACGGAGACACTTACCGTGTCTTCACGTCACTCCAGTGTCCTCAGGGGCCGCCCGCACCCAGAGCTGCTGGGCAGCCACGCTGGCGCCACAGGGAGGGCCTCCCTGTGGACACCAGAACCAGGCATGTCAAGCAAGAGGGACTAGGTTAGGGCGCTCCAGGGTTGGTTGTATCCAGTTCCAACTGGTCAAAATCAATTCTCACCTCAAGGAGCCATTCACGTTTTTATATCTTCTCGCTCACACACTCACAAGTCTCACCCTGGTGTTGGTGTGACAGCGTGGAATGAGAAAGCATGGGGAGAAGGCAGGCGCTGAGAGTCCTTGATTCTCACTTAAGGACAAAATACTTCTTGAGCATCCGGGTGTTCAAGGCTGTGCAGGGCTCCGGAGGGAGGGAAATGGCGATTTAGACAGTGAGCGCATGACCCTCAAACTCAGCAGCACAAATGAGAAATGAACTGAGTCAGCGGTGTGGCCCTGCCCTTATGTATCCATCGTTGTAGAGGAAACCCTTGCTGCAGCTTTGGATAATATTACTCGGGTTTGGGGAATTGGGATGTATAAACGAGAGAGTAATTTACAGTAGCTCAATGTCAAAGTCACTGACAGTTTCACCGTGTGTCAGGGACCCACTTCACCACTTCGTCTGGGCAGCCCAGACCTTGTCTGTGTCCTAGAGACCCTGCGACCACCAGGCCCACTTCCGAGGTTTCCTTTTTTCCTCCCATAATCAGCCTTTCCCAGGATGATTGACAGTAGGAAGGTCCACTGCCTTCAAAGGAAGTCCCACCTCCTACCCACAGAGGTGCCTCTTGCCCCAGGATTCCCAGCAGGACAGCTCCATGAAAATGTGTCTGCCTGACCTTCAGACCTTCATGGTCTTTCAGACTCAGTAATTCTATCAGTAGAACATCGGGTTCCTGTTGAGCTGCCCAGCCAAGGCTGGCCTGATTTCTTTCCACTGTCACCCCTCCTTATAGAGGGGTGACATCAATACTGCCCGATCCTCCCACAGTTCTTCATCTAGGATCTCCCAGGCACAGCCTTCAAAGCAAGAACACAGAGCTCTCTGAGAGAACATGCTGCGTCTCAGGCTTCTTTCACCCAGAGCAGTGAATTTGGAAAACTAAATCTTCAGGGTCATAGTTCTGACTCCTCATGTCCCACAGTCACCAGGCACAGCATGTTATGATTTTGTTGAATTAACACTTGTTAAGTAGAGCCCTGGGGTGCCAGATGGTGAGCAGAAGACCACAAGAGAAATTAAAATCGAGGAGTTATTGCTCACAGGTCCTGGAGGAAGGCCTAGAGGGGCCATGTAGGGAGGTCACGGCAAGGAGAGGCGGAGAGGGAGAGAGGAACATGCCTGGGAACATGCCTGGGGCAGGACCTGGGAGCTGGGCCTTATTAGGATCGTGGGTGGGGTGCTTGGGGTTCCTGAGCTAGGACGAGATTGGTCAATTCACACCAAAGGAGTCAGGATTTGGTAAGCTCCTCAGGGGTCTTATCTAAGGGGACAGACGGGGAGGGCCCTGGAGGTGAGGAAGACTGTTGATCAAGGGCTGTTGGGGGAGTCATGTTAGGAGCTGACTTTTGCTCGAGCCTGTGTGGGCTGTTATTATCTAAGGAATGTGCCTGCATGAGGGGACTAGTGTCTCGAGCCTGTGGGCTGTTATTATCTAAGGAATGTGCCTGCATGAGGGGACTAGTGTCCTTTCAAAGTCACTGCAGACCGGTTGGCCAAACAAAAGAGATGCTGAGGCAGCAGGACCACAACACTTACTTCTCAACACAACACTTAGTTCCCCAGCCTAACAGTGCTGCCAGCTTCCGGGGGTCGATGGGAGTGCAGACGAGTAGCGTAGCTAAGCTCTCAACACAACACTTAGTTCCCCAGCCTAGCAGTGCTGCCAGCTTCCGGGGGTCGATGGGAGTGCAGAGGCCTGGTGCGCCTTGCTCAGTGGTTCCAGACAGACAGGGACTGCCTTTCACAGGGGCGTTGGAGATGGGCGGGGCACTTGGATTGCCACTGTGTCGGGGGCATTCTACTGGCTCTCATGGGTCAGAGGCAGAGATGCTTGATGCCCTGCGGTGTCCAGGATGGGGCCACACGCCAAAGGTGTATCTCCTCCAAAACGCCAGCTTGCCTCCCCCAGCACTCCCTGTCAGGGAACACTCCCAGGGCCCACTCAGCGAATCTTCCAGAACAAAGCCGCAGTCCATCCCCAAACGAGTACCAAAGACCCCTGAGACCGAAAGCTGTGTGTTGCTTTGAGATTAGTTTTTTCCTGGGTTCTGTCCATCAAAGTTTAAAACCTATGAAGGGTCGGGTTTCATTCTGGGCACGTTGTTTATTGGCCTTCTGGACTGATAGTCCTTAATCTCCTACAGATAGGGTTTCTGTCTTTCCACTGTGAGACAGACATCGTACTCGATGACCTGGAGGGGGAGCAGGCACAGGCACATCTCCCAGACATAAAGCAAGGCCCAGGGTAGACTGCGGCATCTGGTACCAGATCCCACCCAGCGCCACACCTACTGTGAACCACAGACGCACCTCGTTTTATTGCACTTTGCTTCAAGTTTCACTGTTCATTTGCACAAAAAGTTAGGTGGCTTTGTCCATCGGAACAATCAGTATAGAGGCTGTCTGGTTATAAATCCACTTTAGACCTGCCTAGAGTAGCGTAGGCATCTAAAGGACATACATTTATTTCTCCAGCAAGTGACTCTAGTGTGAGGAATTCATCCCAGAGGGGTGAGGGTCGATGGTTACATTTCATGTATCGGTATCACTTCACAGTGTGCTGCTGTGTCTCTGAAGCAGTGGTTCTCAACCTTCTGGCCCTTTAAATACAGTTCCTCATGTTGTGACCCAACCATAAAATTATTTTCGTTGCTACTTCATAACTGTAATGTTGCTACTGTTATGAATCGTAATGTAAATATCTGATATGCAGGATGGTCTTGGGCGACCCCTGTGAAAGGGTCGTTCCACCGCCAGAGGTGTCGCGACCCACAGGTTGAGAACCGCTGCTCTGAAGGAACTGTTGCCTCTCGTTTGTATTGTCTGCTCTGTGTTCCTTCTACATCCATTTAAATGCCCATCGGATTGCTTGCCTTTGCACCAAGCCTGACTCTTTCTCAGATTGTAAGTGGAGACGATTGCGTTCAGACCCTAGTTTATTTCTGCACCCTGCAGAAAGTTACTCTGTGGGGGGCATGCCCTGCGCTGCTCACACGTGCCCAGGAGACACTTTGTCTAAGGGAGGTGGCGCCATGCTTTCTCCTAAAGAGAGGCTGACGTTTTGGGTACGGGTTTTGCTAGGCTACTTTTAGAGAAACAGAGAGCAGAGCAAGGCTGCAGATTTTACAGTGTCCATCAAGGGAGGAAGGAGAGCTCTGTGGATTTCTTTGGAAACCTATTTAGCAATATCCTCACCACAAGCTGGTGAGTAATTTCGGCCTTGGTGCTCTCCCCTAAACAGAGGCAGAGGAATTCCGTCCTCTGGTTTCCAGCTCCTCCTTCCTCCCTTCCTCCCAGGGGAATCCCGTTGCCCCCTCTCTTTCCTCTGCCCATGTTCTCTCTTTGACCTGATGGATGTTTGTTGAGCAAATACTAGACCTGAAGCATAGGCTCCCATTTTGAAACAGTTTTTAATTTCTGACTGTTAATCGATTGTGGTGTCTGTCACTCACCTAGCACCAACTGTACACCAGCATTGAATATTGATACTGGATTTATACCTGGAGACATAAGAATTACGGTTTTCTTAATTTAACAAAGAATTTACAGATGTATTTGCCAATGGGGAGAGAATTTGGAATTGTGGTTTAGTCGGGAATTTCCTACTTAATGTGAAGAGAGAACAGAGGAATTTGGCTAAAAAGCAAACTGTTCCAATGCAGACCCCTGTGGTAGACTCGTAGGAGATAAAGTCAACCAAGATCCAGTCCTCGGCCCGGGGAAACGTACAGTCTAAAGGGAGTAAAGAAGAGTGTCACAGTAACAACAATGCCAGACAGGCTGAGGACTGGGAAACTGAAAGGCTTTTCCACCCACCAAAATATGCAAAGTAAGGTGCACCCAATGCAATAGCAGAATCAGAAGACGTCTACCATTCTTCTTACTTTTTTTTTTATCATCTTTAGAATCTCTCTAATGTATCCTTTCTGTCTTTGTTGTTCATCATTTTCTAGAGGAAATAATATCTTGGCAAGAAGCCCCCCTATAACTTAGGAATGCATTACAGCAATGGTTCTCAAAGTGGGACCCCTGGCCCAGCAGTACTTGTTGCAAATACAGATTCTCAGGCTCCGCCTCAGTCAGAAGCTGGTGAGGGTAAGGTCCAGGAGTCTGTGTTTCCATAAGCCCTTCGGGAGTCCTGATGTCCGCTGACCGTCCAGGGTTCCAGAGCATCTGTGTCCAACTGAGCTCTGTGGTGTCCCAGTCAAGCCGAGTGCTTCTCATTGACACGGTTCTGTTGGCAAATAAGCTCAAGAAATGCTGCAAAGTAGATCTCGTTGGAGATTGCCACATCTGTTTTCCTATTGAAGGCTCTGAGACGTCCTGTGCCAAGGAGATTTAGTTCACCTTCCTTAACCAGAAGCTCCCATAGTTATTTGAACAGAGATGCAGGATCACTGTGTGATGCCTGTTAAATTAGTCTTGTTGCTAGGATTCTCTGGAACGCATTTTGGGAGAAACTTCTGGAAAGAACTTTGCTCTTTATGCTGTCTGTATCTAAAGTGCACTAGGTGGAGACCCTATACACACACACACACACACACACACACACACACACACACACACACAGTGTGGGAATCATGCCTGAACCCTATCCAGTGTAGCCAGCTCCCTTGTCTTCCTCTCTCTCCACTCCATCTCCATGCCTCATTCCACTTTCATGCCCACTTTATTCTCTGCTCCTCAACGGAAGATGGGGGAGGGGGCAGCTACTGACCTCTGCTGAGCCTCAGTAATGGCTTCTTGTCCACGAAGAGTATGGTGTATATGTTTTCAGTCTTTCTACTTTTGTGAAGCTAATGTGACTAAGTCACAAGTGGTGTTTTGACATTTTTTTTTGGTCCATGCATTTTTGTAAGGATCATTCATTATCAGTTATCCCTATACCTGTAAAGACTAGCCTGTCCCCAAAGATCCGATTTTTTCATTGTTTTATAAAAAGATTTTCTTTAAATGTCAAAAATTGATGATTTAATTGTATAATTAAAATTTCTGTCCATCTAGCTTTGTCCCAACCATGTGGTTTCCCATCTAACTTGAAGAAGTCTATGCATACATTATTTCATTTACTCCTCAAAATGGAGGGGTGGGGAATCCTGTGAGGTAGGTATTATTTAACCTCATTATTTTCCCCAGACAAACAGAGGAGTTTATAGATGAAAAACTTGCCCAGATCACACAACTAGCAATTTGGAGTGTATAGTGAGACTTCCAGGTTTGAATCTCTGTTTTGCCACTTAACAGCTGTGTGACCTTAGGCAGGTTAATTAGCCTCTCTGTGCCTCAGTTTCCTCTTCTGAAAGATGAGGATAATGTTGTGCCTACCTCACAGGGCTGCTGTCAGCTTTTACATTAATAGTCCTGTAGCACTTAGAAGGATACTATCAGCAGGTGGGGGAAAGCTTCCATAGTTGGGAGGAACCCTGGTGTGAATAAGCTAAAGGGGCTTAACAACAGTTAACATTCCATACACATTGTGGATTGAGTGACTGAATGGACGGTGCCACTGTTTATGTCCTTGCACACACCCTGCTGGGTGGTAAGCCATAATCAATCCCAGGAAACACAAGGATTTAAATGGATGTTGTCATTCTTGCTTTAAGATGCATGCTGGCCTTGTGATTCTCTTAGACCTCTCTCTGCTACTCCAGTTTCTCATTCTGGCTCCGACCCCATCTGTCATTTCCACTGTTATGTCTAAATTTTACATTATAATTTGTTCCAGGGCACTTGAATATCATAAGTGATTTAAAGATGGCATTCCTCTAATAAGTGCATAAAATATTTTTTAACTTCATAAACCTTATTTCAGCGTGCCTTTCATGAAACTCAGTCTGCCATTTGGATCCTCTTCCTTTTCACCAGTTCTAGCAAAAAAGAAAAACCCCAACCAGAATTTGGGCATTCCATTGGTGGCAGACTTAATATCCTTTGAAAGGGCCCTTTCAGATCACTATTCCCTAGAGTTAAGCATTTTGACCAATGGCTTTGGTTTTGGTATCAGAAAATAAGGGAAATGCTTATGTTACTGCCATTTCATTTCATTCCATATCCTATTATTTCAGGGGAAGTGGTAGAAAACAGACAAACATTAGGATCTCACGGTAGTCGTTTATCATTGCATTATAACTGGTGCAGGTCAGAACTTCCTGATTCCACAAAAGAAGCTGTGGTGTGACGAAGCATCAATGTAGCATCAATATTTCTGCACTTCTCATGAGCGTCAGTTAGGGTAACACTTGCAGCTGCTGCCTTTAGACTTTTCCATAGCAGGCTCTTCACCAGGACCACGTAAGAGTTTGGGTGGCTGTGCAGCGTGGGCTGCCCTAGACTCCTGGGTGTGGCACAGATGAGCTATTTGGTGTTGGGATGGCTGACTCATTCAGTTTTCCACAAAGAGGTAGTACAGACAAGGCACCTTAGTCATTAATGAAATAAAGTTGTGCTGCTGAGAGCAAAAGAGCTTTCTACCAGGTGAGTACCAAGAATGTGAGAGAGCAGACCTTCTTCCACCCCACCCCATCACCACAACAGCGTTCTGGTTTGGCCATTGATTCACCATTATTCGTACAAGATCTTCGCATGTACAGCAAGCCCTATTGAAAGCCAAGAAATTGCATCCAGATATAGGTGAATTATAGTCATGTGACAGCAAACACAAATATCCTATATAATAAAAGGCTAATATGCAAATCGACCGAATGGCAGAATGATTGGTCATTATGACACGCACTGATCACCAGGGGGCAGACGCTCAATGCAGGAGCTGCCCCTTGGTGGTCAGTGCACTCCCATGGGGGGGAGCACCGCTCAGCCAGAAGCCCTGAGCTGGGCTCACGGCTGGCTAGCACAGCGGCTGTGGTGGGAGCCTCTCCTGCCTCTGAGGCAGCACTAAGGATGTCTGACTGCCGGCTTAGGCTGACATCCCCGGAGGGTTCCTAGACTGGGCTCACGGCTGGTGAGCACAGCGGCTGTGGTGGGAGCCTCTCCTGCCTCTGAGGCAGCACTAAGGATGTCTGACTGCCGGCTTAGGCTGACATCCCCGGAGGGTTCCTAGACTGTGAGAGGGTGCAGGCTGGGCTGAGGGAACCCTTCCTCCCCCCGAGTGCATGAATTTCATGCACTGCGCCTCTAGTAGTGCTTATAATACACCAGGCATTGTCCTAAGAGCTTTGCATGTATTTATCCTCAGAACAGCCCTATATGGTCAATACTATTTTTATCCTCATTTGACAGATGAGTAAACTGAGGCACAGAGATGTTAAGTTGCTCACTCCAAGTCACACAACTAGTTAGGTAGTGGAGCCAAGATTCAGTTTCAAGCAACTCGACCCCAGAGTCTGTTTTTATCAACTATGCTTTTATTTATGAGAAAAGAGGGGAATATTACATTCATTTCTAGTTAGGTGTAGGCTATAAAATATTCACAAATTTAAGGCAAGAAGTATTACTAAAGAGGGAAAACAATAAAAGATCAAGTCAATAGGAAGACATAAACATCTTAAATATGTATGCACCTTATAACATAGCTATGAAATGGGTAAAGCAAAGATTGACAGAGGTAGACATGGACAAATTCATAGTAACAGCTGGAGGTCTAAACACACTTCTCTTAATACATATTAGAATCAGCAGACAAAAAGTCAGCAAGTACATACAAGAGTTGAACCATACTCTTAAGTCAACATATTTAACCTAATTGACATTCATAGAATACTATCCTCAACAACTGCAGAATGCATCTTTTGAAGTCCCCATGACACGTTCACCAACGTCAGTCACATTTGGGGTCATACAGGCTAAGATTCAACAAATTTCAAAGGATTGAAATCAGGTATATTCTCTGTCCCAGTGGAATTAAGACATGAATAACAAAAAGATAGGAAAATCTCCAAATGTATTATTACTAATACAATTCTAAGTAACCCAAAGTTCAAAAGAGAAATCATAGTGGAAATTAGAAAATGTTTTAAATGAAATGATAATTAAATTGCAACAAATCAAAAAGTGTGGGATATAGCTAAAGCAGTGCTTGGAGGGAGAGTCATAGCAATTATATCAGAAAAAAAGTTTGAAAATCCATCATTTAAGTTTTCATCTCAAGAAGCTGGGAAAAAAATCAGCAAATTCAGCTCAGAGAAAGTTAAAAAAAAAAAGATGTAGGCTGAAATCAATGAAATAGAAAACAGGCATATAATAAAGAAAACGAACAGAAACAGAAGTTGATTCATTGAAGGCATTGATTGCAGCTAAGTATAAGATTGCAACTCAATAAATTTCTTTCCTCCTACTCTCCCTGCCATCTACTAAATTCTGAGTTAGGAAATCCATTGTCTGCAGAGTGGGACTTTTTTTTTTAAGTCCTCCCAAAGCAATACTTTATACCACTATCAGGATTAGTTTGTCAATTCCCTTTTCAACTTTGAGTCTCTGCAAATTCTTTTCTAACTGTTCTCCTGTCTCTGTTTGTTCCATGCTAAGCAGATGGCCCAGAAATTAGCCAAAAGCAGGAAGAAGGTGCAGTACAAACAACTTCATCAGCTTGGTGTTATGCCTGTTCTTTCCATTTATTTATGTTTTCCCTTTTTATTATTTCGTGTTTTTGTTTTCTGCATCCAGCAAGTTTTTGTTCAGATTTCTTTTGGAACCGCCCCATAAGCCAACGTTTCTCAAAACTCAGTTGCCTAAAGTGGCTGTTTTCTGTTGCTCATGAGTCATTTCACGTGAGAGGAACGGCAGGGAGCAGATTGGAGATGTTACATGAGTCCTACACTCGTGTGAAAGTTCCCACCATTCAGGCATTAATGTGGCAGGGACTTGGGTCTGTCCAATACTAGTCATGTTTGATTTGCGGACTTGTCAGATTGCTGGATGCAAAAAAGAAAACTCGCTAATAACCACGCGTGTGCGGAGTTAAACCTTAAATGAGCCAGACGGGTGCGCTTTTTATGGCTGTGGAGCTTCTGGATGCTTCTGAGCTACCCATGGGACATGGATCCATTGGGCTCTTTCTGAATGGGGTGGGTTCAGGGTGCTGCTTCTGTGTTGCTGTGTTGGGTTGTGAACACAAAGACCCTCTGACCAGAACTGCATTCAGATGACTTCCTTTGCACCTGCTGTAAACATCGTCCCCGTCCCGTGAGCAGGGGCAGACTGGTTTCGCCACGTTCCTTTGATATGTTGGGCTCCAGCAGCCTTGCAGAAAGGGCCACTGGCAACCCTCATTCCCAGAGCCAAACCCGCTACAGGATGTCACTGCTTCTAGAGCGGAAGCAGCAAAGGGGATTCTATGTTCTTCCTTGGAACCTGCAAATGCTAACTCTCACTCACGTGCCCATCCTCTGAGGTAACTTCAGCTCTGACAACCTAATTCTGGAGTCTGCACTGCTGTTCTGGTGACTGTGTCTCGATGCCTGTGTATGAGCTCCCCTTGCTTCCATCACCGGGGCCAGAGGAATGTACTAAGCTCTCTCTCGGTGCATTTTTCTTCTCAGGCTCCAGAAGGCGAGTCTCAGCCAATGACCGAAGTGGATCTCTTCATTTCTACGCAGAGAATCAAAGTATTGAATGCTGACACACAGGTATTAGCTGGCTCCCACCTTTCCCAGGGGTCAAGCTCAGCAGCATGGCAACGCAGAGACCGTACCCCTGTCCATAGAGCAGCTGTCCCCAGACGCTGGCTTCTATACACGCTAGAAGGCTGTGTCTGCAATGCCTGCTTGGGGTGGGGTGCGCTGCGCTGTGCAGGGAGCCTTGGGACTGTTTTCTTAAAGACAAAAGGAAAAAAGAAACTGAATATTGTTTGATAATAGTTCTCATAAGTTTTTATCAGATTTGTGACCTTGAACAGATTAGCGCTTTTTTAAAAAATATATTTTATTGATTTTTTACAGAGAGGAAGGGAGAGGGATAGAGAGTTAGAAACATCGATGAGAGAGAAACATTGATCAGCTGCCTCCTGCATACCTCCTACTGGGGATGTGCCCACAACCAACGTACATGCCTTTGACCGGAATCGAACCTGGGACCCTTCAGTCTACAGGCCGACGCTCTATCCACTGAGCCAAGCTGGTTAGGGCCAGATTAGCTTTTTAAAAATCTTTTTTTAAAATCACACACACACACACACACACACACACACACACACACACACACAATGCAACCATCACATGCAGATTTTTAAATCTCTGTTTCATTTTTACCTTCCCCACCAGAGAGTCTAGTAGTTGTAAAATGATGGAAATTTCTCACCTGCCACAGGCCTCCTGGGTTATTCTTAGCCCAGGGAATTGGCCCCAGGCCGGGTGGGTGCACAGACATCTGCTCGCAGGGTCTTTGCTGTGAGCACCGGAGCCCCCTGCATGTGGAGCCCACGTGGCTGGGTTGTGGGGAGACAGACTTTCCCAGGGGTCATGGGATGCGGCCCCGATTTACCGCCCTCTCCCTTCCCATCCAGGAGACGATGATGGACCACCCTCTGAGGACCATTTCCTACATCGCAGACATCGGGAACATCGTCGTGCTGATGGCCCGCAGGCGGATGCCACGCTCCAACTCCCAGGAGAACGTGGAAGCCTCGCACCCGTCCCAGGATGGGAAAAGGCAGTACAAGATGATCTGCCACGTCTTCGAATCTGAGGACGTAAGGGTGCTTCCCCCATCTCCCTCCAGGGACCTGAACTGCCTTTGGGGGGCCAGATTCTCTATTTCTCAGGACCTGATCACATGTGTAAACAAATATTGAGTACCTACTGTGTGTTACTCAGCCTTCTACCCCCATTCCAGTGCTAGGCATAGAAGGCTGGGTAAAACAGACTAGGTACTCCTGAGGGGTGTAGGGAGACAGAAGATAAATAGATAAATATACTTAATACAAAAGTAGGTAGCGGGAAGTTTGATAAAGAAAAATTAAAACTAGGTCAGGATAGAGGGCCAGAGGCTGTTTCAGATAGAATGATCAACTAAGTTCTCCCTGAGTGGGGAGATCGGACAGAGATCTGAATAACGAGAGTGGGGAGAGAGCACGTGCAGAGGCCTGAGGCAGGGGCCTGCTGAGGCAGCTTGAAGAAATGCAAGGAGCCCAAATTGCCAGAGAACCTAAACAAGAGACACAAGGAAGGTGTTCAGCCCGACCCATGGAGGCCTGAGCGGGTCTCACCGGGGCAACAGGGCATTTGGGAATAAAGTTCTTGGCCGTGTGGGCCACCCTGGAGGCTACTGGAACATTAGGATCCCTGCTCACCTTCAGTCCAGCTGATGCAATAAACAGAGAAAATGAATGTTCAACAGAGATGGGGCCCATCCTCCCATTCAGTGATGAAAACCTGCTGCTCCTGCGGTCAAACGCCGCCTGACCCCCATCTCTCCAGCTGATGCAGTAAACAGAGAAAACGAATGTTCAACAGAGATGGGGCCCATCCTCCCATTCAGTCCTCTTCCCCGGGTGTGACTGGAAGCGCTGGTGAGGCCACCAGCTTCCAGCTGCATTAGCATCCAAGTGTCTCCAAGGCTGGGCAGGCCTTGGAAGCTGCCCCCGGGCCGGCCACAGCCCCACCGTGGTTTTGAACTGCAGAGACCTAAGCCGGCCATGATGGTGCCGTTGACTGTGCTGATGTTTTACTTCCTGCCATAGTGAAGCAAGCTCTGTGTCTCCTGTTGAGCAGAGAGAGCCCTTTCTACTTAAAGAAAACCTGTGGCAACCTTGGCTCCTTAAAGAAGCCGTTTTTCCTCCATGAACATGCTCCTCTACTGCAGTAATTTGCCTTCCTCCAACAAGCTGGGCAGAAGCAAGCTGCTTTCCCCGGGGAATCAGAGCTGCCCAGCTGCAGCCCCGGGGTGGAGGAGCCCTCACACTTTCTGCACCATCTTCACTGTCTGGTTCTCTGGACAAGTCACCCACCAGGCAGCGAGCTTGCAGCGCGTGTCCCCGCCATTCTCCCTGCTATGCCCTTCACACTGAGGCCAGACTTGCACACTGGGAGACAATGAGCTTCGGCAGGTTCTCAGAAAGTTCCCAAAGCGTCCGGTTTAGAACCGTAAGCCTCGTGTGTCCTGCAGGCCAGTGAAAAGGTGGGTTAGCTCTGCTCACTGGGCCGAAGGCCCCCTGTACGCACATACTGGTACGTACGTGTGAGGAGCCCTCTGCCACCTTCATCTGGCTGGGAGCCCCATGGCTTTCTTTTCCTTGGGCTTCCTGTCAGGGAGGATGATGACAGGGAAGAATGCGAGCAGGAGTTAGGACAAGCTCGGACCTGGGAATCTTACCCGTGGCTTTTTAGCACAGGGCGAATCCTGCCTCCAGGTACTGGCTGTGTGGCCGCTGAGCTTCTGCAGGAGACTGTGTCCCCTCGCCAGGCTGCTGTGTGACTGTGGTTGATGCTGCAGAAATACCGCAGCCCGTGTGTTCGCACGTGCATCTGTGCATGGAGGTCAGCACGCCGGCTGGCCGTGTTCCCAGGCACACAGTGTTCAGTGCATCTGTCCGCGTGCCTCTGAGCCTGAGGCGGTGCCCACTGCCTTCGCCTTTACAGCAGGATGCAGGGCGGTGGTCCTTGATGGGCTGTGGCACGAAGCCACCAGATTCTCAGAGAGAAAAGCCAAGCATTTCTTCCCCACGGTCAGCCACACAGAAGGCACTGCCATCTCTGTTAAGTAGCTGCTTTTAAGCAAAAACTGGGGAAAGGAGCAGAGGTTAGAATTGTGTGTGTGTTTTAAAACATCACTCTAAAGACTTGGTGGTGGTTTTCTACCCATTCCGATTCCACTGAGAGGCAGTCCCATGTGGTGGGCGGAGGGTGGACTCTGCAATCAGTCTGCCAGGATCCAGCCTCTCCCCACCCTCCACTGCACCCCCTTCCCAGGCCGTGGACAACTTAACCTCTCAACCTCCGTCTCCTGATGTGTCGGAAGGGGACAGTAACACAGAGCCACAGTTCCAACGTCTAAAGAGCTCTGACAGACAAAGGGGTTTGGGGAGTCACTTTGCTGATAAACCTGCCCTGACCCACCATGAAATCACTGATAGGGTTTGCCCAGCTGACTGTGAATCTTGTACGTTTTGCTGCAGGAATATGACTGTGCTCATTATAGGACACTTGCCCAGGCCCTAAGAGGGTTATCACACAACGTAGGATACACCATCCTGTTACTTTTCTAAAATCCCAAATTTTCTAATTCTGAAGCACAGAGCTGAGGAGGAGGGCCTGTGGACCAGCCATACTCCCACCAGCCATAGGCTTGCCGTGAGGATTTCTGTAATGATCCTCGTGAAGAACTGAGTGTGTGGCAGGCATGTAGGCAGTGCTCGGCTGCTACTGGCTACCCTGAGTCAGAATATGGATGAACTGATGCAGGGAAAGGCTATCACAGCTCAGTGCAGGAGAAGGAGCAGTGGAAGCAGCGTCCCCTGCTGTGAGCTGTGTGACCTGCAGCAGGTTCCTTTATGTCTCTGAACCTCAGTCTCCCCACCTGGAAAACGCAGGGTTGGACTAGATCAGGGTTCTCAACAAACGTTTAGATGCCCAGATACTATCCATCCTGAAATGAAATGCAGAGATGATGTAACCTCTCCTTTTGAAAACGTTTTTACAAAATAAAGTATTGCTATCAGTGTAACACCACGGAGAAGCGAAGGGACCCAGGCTCAGTTAGCATTGCACTTAACGACAATATGTGAATGCCTGGCTCCAGCCGTTCCAGAAGGAATAGTGGGTCCTGAGGTGCTTGCACCTACGTGATCAGTAAGTTTGGGTGTGAGAGCACAGTCCTCAGCTGAATATCGTAAACACTCAGTATCTGACATTTTGAATTAAGGTAACTAAGAAAATAGGTAAGTGGACAGACACAGACACACAGGCAGGCAGAGTTACCCCCCAGGCCAGCTTGTGTGCAGCCGACAGGGATGTGATTCATTGGCTGCCCAGATACCATGAGCAGTATTAATGCTGGTGAGTTTCCAAAGTTGTGACGCTTACTCCTTGTAAAGTGCTGGCCAAACGAAATCTCACTCTCAGTTTACAGAGTGCTTGTGTTCTTGGAACATTCAATGTGTATAATTGAGGTCTTTGGTTTTTACATAATATAACGTTGAGTCCTGACGTCAGATGATTAGACACAGGGTTACATGTAACGAACATCCAGTGGGATATTTGAAAATCATGTAATAAGAGGTCGAATGACTCATCCGTGTGTAGGACTGTCCACAGTTGTAAGTCCAGTGTCTCTGACTCCTGTCTCCCAATTGCCCGTAGCTCCCTTGTGACTGTTGTCAAAACCAAAAATGTCCCCACTGGCCTAGCAGATGCCTTGGGCTCCGTAGTCCTGATGGGGCCCAGGCTGTGTCCCAACAGGGCTGCCCTACTGACCTTCATCTTCCCTCTCTGGCTGCTGTCTAGGCCCAGCTGATCGCACAGTCCATAGGGCAGGCGTTCAGCGTGGCTTACCAGGAATTCCTCAGGGCCAACGGGATTAACCCTGAGGACCTCAGCCAGAAGGAGTACAGCGACCTGCTCAACACCCAGGACATGTACAACGACGACCTGATCCACTTCTCCAAGTCGGAAAACTGCAAAGATGTAGGTACTTTCCTGGTCGAAGCTCAA